GGGCGCCGACAGGTAACGCTGCTGCTTGAACCGACGCTCCAGCTCGAAGACCTGCGCCTGGGAGAAGAGTACGCGCGGCTTCCTCCGGCTCCGCTGCTTCGGCCTCTCCGTCTCCTCCGCCTTCTCCGCTGCATCCAGCGGCTTCTTCAGGACGCAATTCTCTGTATGGGGTAGCACAGGTCATAGGTGCGCCTCGTCGACACCGGGGGCTCGCTGCTCCCGCTGGGCCCCACCGGCGGACGAGAGCTCCGCGCCGCGCCCCAGCCGTTCCCGCGCCGCTACGCGCCCGTCGGGGCACCGCGGTGCGGGAGGGGAGGAAGCGCTTGGATCGGCCGTCTCCGGCACCTCCTGTGTTTGCGAGGGCCCGATTCGGGCGGCGGGGCCGGGCACATTCCCGCACCTCCGGGCCGGCTACGGCTTTACCGCTGCAGCACCGCGAGGAGAGCTCCGAGCCGCGTCGCGCACAGCGCCGGGCACCTGCTCTGCCGCCGGGCCCCGCCGCAGCGGGTGTGGATTGAGCCTAACCCGACCCGTTCCTCCCCCTCCGCTACTGAAATTGCAGAGCGCGGGCCTGATCCTCCGGACTGGGGCCTTGCAGAGGCACTCCCCAGGGAGGAGGAGAGCGAGGAGCGGCGGTGGCAGCCCCGCGACGTGCCCGTCCCGGCTCGACATGGCCAAGGGACGTGGAGCGGGCTTCGCGGGGCGATGCCCGAGGGCCGGGAATGCACCATGGCAAGACAGCGCGTGGCCCGTCCCGGCGGGGCGGTGCAGTGCAGGGAGCGCGGCGGAGCCGATACTCACTTGGGTCTCGGACCGCCGGGTCCAGCTCTTCTCCCGGGCCGGGGGCCTCGCAGGAGCCGCGCAGCACGGCGTGAACGTAGTTGTCGGCGGAGATCCGCTCGTCCGCCTGGCTGCCGGGCGCTGCCATGGGACTCAGGTAGGAGAGCTTTTCCTCCTCCTCTTCCTCCTCGCCGTCGGAGAAGCGGGCGCCGTCGGCAGCCGCCAGCAGGCAGGCAGCGGGGTGGAAGTGGTGCTCCAGGTGGTGCGGGAGCTGGGCCCCATAGTGCGGGTCTTGCTGCTGCTCCAGGTTGAGGATGTCTTTGACAGAGAAGGGTGTGGAGGTGACGGGGCTCGGTAACATCATCGGGGCAGCGCAAGCGGCCAGGCAGTCCCGCGGGCCCGGCGGCTCTCGGGCGGCTGCTCGGCGGGGAGCGCCGCACCCGGTGCGGGGGGAGCAGGCAGCGCCGAGAGACGTGGGGCCGCGCCTGCTTCTGTCTAAGTTGCCTCCATTAGCTCGGCGCTGGGGGTCTGCGTTTTGTTACAGCTTCTGCAGGGACAGCCAAAGGCTCGAGAGCCTCCTCTGCCCCGGGCCGGCACGTCACGGCAAGGAGGGGCCGGGGGCGGCCTCGCCATTGGAGAGAGGGGGAGGCAGAGCCGGCCCCCTGCCCGGCTCCGGCCGCCCGGCCAGAAATAGCAATGTATTAAGGCTGTACTCGGGGAGGCTCCTTCCCCGCAGAGCGCCCCGGCGGCCCGGCACCCGCCCGGCGGGCGCGGGGTCGGTGCGCCGGGGTCGGGGTCCCCGCAGAGAGCCGCGGCTGCCGCCGCCGCGCCCCCCAGTGCTAAGCACGTGTAGGTAGGTAGGGACCCCCGCCCGGGCGCGCCCCGCTGGCCCCTGCCTGCACACGGCTCGGTCCGGCCCCGGCAGGACCGACACGTGCGGCCCTGCCGGCCCGGTCTCCCCGCCCCACCAGCACGGTCCCGCAAGTTCCTCCCGCGGCCCAGGACGCGCAGCGGAGGGGAGGTTCGCCTCCGCCACCCGCACCCCTCCCGCAGCCGACGGCGACCCCGCCGTCCCGGACGGGCCGTAGATATGCGACGTACACGTAGCCAACCCCCTCCTCATCCCCCTGCACCCCCGGTCCCTCCGCCGGTGCCCCCGCAAGTACCCCGCGACCAGCCAATCTGCAGGCCGGCCCAGCTCGCCGCAGCCGGTGCGACACTCGTTCGCACGGGGGAAAGCGCTCTTCGCCGCCGCCGGATCGGGCCCCGCAGCCTGCGACCGCAAGGCCCAGTCGGGGCCGACCGGGCCGGGCAGGGTGGGCGGCCCGGGACGACGGTAACACGAGGCTGGGTGGGCAGCGCGATACTGCGATCGTCGGTGTTTCCTTTCGTTGTTTTTCGTTTTCTTTCGTTTCGTTTCGTTTTGTTTCGTTTCTCCCGCCGGTAACGGGCGGCCAGCGGCTCCGCGGAGCCGCTTCGCCTCCGTGCCGGCGTGTGACGCACCGAATGAGCTCCTGTCGAGCTCTTCCGCACTGAGGGTCCCCCGGCCACAGTGCCCCGCCGGGCACCGGCTAGCCCCGCGGTGATGCGGGAGATGCCGCGGCCCCTCGGCGCTCCCCGCAGCCCCGGACTTTTGCAGGGGCCCCGAGCCGCCGCGGCGCTGGGAGCGGGTGCACCGAGGAAGGGGCAGGGGGTCCTTGGTGGGATTTTTCGTTGTGATTAAAATCCTGCTGCCCCGCAGGGCTTGGATCGGCGACGAGGGGAGGCCACCGGAGCCGGGCGCGTACGCCGGGCAGGTGAGTGTCCCGGCGCCGGGGCTTCGCGGGGCCTTCCCGGGAGTTTCTCTCGTGTTGCTAACGTCCGGCAGCTCCACCGTTTAGCGGCTCTGTCGGTGCTCTCCTATCTTCGTCTTTCTGCACGCCTCAGAGACATATTTACTGGGGGCGCAGCCCGGGACAGGAGCCCGAGTCCCGCGCACTTTGCCGCAGCTCGTGTATTACCGGTGCCGCAGCGGGGCTGGTTCCCGTTCCACTGGCACACCGCAGCGCTGCCACCACGCACCTTCAAACCCCTCGCCATATAAATACGACGATTCGGTCCCTTCTCGCCGCTCCCCGTGCGAGACGCCTTCCTGCCGTCCGGACTGTGGACGGGGAAGGGCGCCTGCAGTAAGCAGGCCTGACCGGGGCCCGACTCTGCCCCGTGCCACCGGCGCGCAGAGAAGCTCGGCGCTGCCTCGCTGCCGGGGTACCCCGAAAAGAATTAGTAACAATTAGCTCCTCATTCGTGTTACATATTTTCTACCGTCCCGGGCCACTCCCGCCCGCCTCGGGGCCCCGGGCCCGGGGAGGTGCAGGCGCGGGGCCCGGTGGCAGAGCCCGGCGAGCGGCCGGGCTCTGCACAGCGCCGCGCTGCCCGGGAGCTCCATTGCGGCCGAGCTTCCCGGCGGGGATAACAGCGTCAAGGGCCGGTGCCCTCGGTGGTGGCGGCCATAAGAACTGCAGGGCCACCGCCGATGTCCTCCTGCCGGTCCGTCTGCGGAAGCAGCAGCCGCCGTGCCGAGGCCCGAGGCCGCGCCCGGCAGGGTCTGGCTCGTTTGGCGCCATCGCTCCCGCCCGCACAGGGATCCCGGACGGGCCGATCGCCCGGCGCAGCCTGCGGGCTCTGGGAGCCCGGGTCGGGTATAAACGATGTATCGGGGCGTCTCCCCGGTGGTACTAGTGGTTCTCCCGCTGGGACCCACTCATTTGTGCTGCTGCCGGCTACACGGACTGCTCGGGGAGCCCACGCCCGACGGAGGGAACAAGGCGCGGCCGGGCCTTTTCTGGGCCGCCTTATCCTCCGCCGGTCTCCCGGTACGGTTAACTGAGCCCGCACTTTCTCCCCATGCCAGCATCCCCTCTTTTGTGGAAACGGATCGGTGGTTTATTCCCGGCTGGGAAAGCCGAGGAAGCGGGGAGATGGTCGGGCCCGACCGTGCCCGTACCGAGGCGGCTGGCGCCGAGGAGCACGACCGGACCAGGGCGAGCGGTGCGGAGGTACAGAAGCCGGGGGGAGGAAGGAGCAGGACAGCCCTGGTACCTGCGGCGGGTCTCAGCCCGAGGTGCGGCTGTAGGGCTTTCCCAAGCCGGCTGGGCTGGGGTCACCGGGCTATTAATGGTTATTTTATTTATATCATTAGCGGCGTCCCCTGAGCTCTGTTTACAGCAGGGCCTTGTTGTCCCGGCCGCTTCTGCGCTCTGTTTAGACAGGGGATTATTGTAATGGATGGAACTCGCCGTGCGGATGCTGCAGCGGAGCCAAGAGAGCCAAGAGCTTCCCCCCCGGGCCCGGGGACCGAGCAGCAGCCCCGCTGCAACCGCGCACACCGCGGCGGGCGGACGAGCGAGGGAGCGAGCAGCCCGCTCCCGCCCGAGGCCCCGGCCGCAGGCGGCTCGGTAGCAGCGGCCGAGGCCGGGGGTCTCTCTCGGGGCGATGCTATCAGCACCAGGGCTGCTAATTGCTCCATTAGTCTCGCGGGTGCGGAGTGCTGGAGCCGGCCCCGCACTAATGGCCGTAAACAAACAAACGCGCTAATCCGGCCCTGTCTCCAGCCCCCGTGCTCGGGGAGCCAACGGGGCACGGCGGCGGGAGCGCTGTGCGGGCGGCACCCACCTGCCCGCCGCCCCCGGAGCCCGGCGGCCCGCGGGCTGGGGCCGTAGCCGGAGCGGACCCGCGCCGCCGGGAGCTGCCCCCCGCGCCCGGCTCTATTTACACAGAGCCTGCCCTTGTGTAAACGCTGCGCGCCGTGGTTTATCTCAGGGCCCGTCTGGTTCTCGTTCTCTGTCAGCAGCGCCCGGTGAAGGATGGCCCTTTCCCAGGAGTTCGGTCCTGATTTATGTGAGAACCGCAGCGCGCCGGGGACGCCCCCGCACGGCGGGGCCGGCGACGCGACGCGGAGAGGCGGTGGGTCTCGGGGCAGCGATCCGACGCCGGGGCTGCCGGTGGGGCCGGGCCCGTGCAGCCCGCACCGGCTCCGCACGGCTCGGTCACCTGCCGGCAGCGGACCCCGTGGTCCTGTCCGGCACGGCACGGCACGGCACGGCACGGCGCTTCGCCCTCTCCCGGGTCCGGCTCTCCTCTCATGCAGCCCCTCACGGTGCCCAGCGGGCGCGCCCTGAGGGGCTCCGTGAGGAGAGCTTGGGGTGACTCCACTGGCAGCTCCCAGCTCGGACTCACTCCCTGAGTGCACCCACCTGGTCACAGCTCCCTGGGGAAAGGATGGCGTTTATCCCTGCCCTGCCGCTTGCACAGGAATGACTCTTTTTCACAACTCTGAAAAAAAACCGTTCTCTGTATTCCTCAGGAGAGAAGAGGGCTTCTGCAAGCAGCGGAGCCAGGTCCAGGCAGGGAATGCAGCATGCTCACCCAGCAACAGGCTGTCTCCATCTCCCACTGCTGTGTCTCGTCTATGCCCAGGCAGTGCCTAGACCATCCTGTTCATTCGGGTCTGTCACTTGACACCTGCCTGCATTTTTCCAAATCCTCAGAACCAGCTGGCTTGGTTTGGCCAAGAATCACCCAACTAATGCCCATTTTCTTGAGAGGTACATCACTGCAAATATCTGCTTTCTTCTTCAAAAAGAAGCTTTCTTCTTCACTTTTTTGCTCCATTGACATTGGCTGATTTACTTTTGCTCACAGTTCTTGCAGGGATGCATGGCTTGGAAATACCTCCTGAAACAAAGCCTCAGTGAAAAATGAATGTGTTTTTTAAAGGTCAGAACCAGATTCTATCATCCCACACATATGTTTTCAAGGTGGGAGGTTGGTTTGAGGGGTACTAGTAGCTGTGTAAAACATTCAGTGTTCAGCACTTTGAAGGATAGACGCAGAAAATGCAAGGGTGCTGCCCATTGCAGCAAGTGGAGCTCAGTAGGCTTGGACACCAAAGGGGAGGTTGCCCTTCATTTCAGTGCCTGATGGGTCTCTGAAACTGAGGCTGACATGTTAAGCTTGGTGAGAGCCAACCTGCAGGAGCAGATAAAGGTCACCCTTCATCTGAGGCAATGCAGGATAGGAAATGCCAGTGCCAAGGACCCCCTCCTGCCTGCTTTTATTTGGCATCTCTTGTGCACAAAGGATACCCAGGCTTCACAAAGCTACCCTGCTGCACAACACAGCCCCATGACTGTGGACGTGCAGAGGGTAGCAAAACACCTCTTCCTCTGGAGTTGTGTCATACATAAATCACAGTTACTGACGGTGCGATGAGAGGGTCCCCGTGCAGCAGAGGGAGGACACTGCTGCAGGCACACGTACACCGCCCTGTTGGCGGAGCACACCCCACAGCCTTTCTGGGAGTACTTTTGCCCTGTGTCTTAGAAGCCATTGCTGTGTGTTTGTGTCCGTGAGGTTGAGAAGCTGAGCTGAAATTCATCCTTCAGCAGAGGCCCAGCACGAGGCTTGCTCACCGCTCACATCCACAGGCCTGCGTACCACTTGCATCCCATAGCGCTTAAGTGGAGCCTAAGTGGACCCTGGGCCTTGTGCTGGCGACCTGCCCAGTGGTGGATTTCAGCTCCGAGCCCAGGCCTGCTGCTCTGATTCATGCACGTAATCCCGCTGAGGTCAGCGGGTTCCATCCTGCTCCCACCACGGCCCGCGGGACAGTTCACACGAGAGTGGCAGGGTCAGGCTCTGTGTTTGCATGTGCCATAGAAAATGGAACAATTAAGATTAAACCAATTAAATTTTAACAGGTCTGGAAAGCGTTTTATTACATAATAAACTGGAGGGATTAGCCGTGTCGGGCTTTGCTGTGTGTGTTCTGGCAGAGTGGTTCCTCGCTGTCCGCAGCACTTGGTGTTCCTCGGGGCTGGGGACCTCCCTGCGCTGCTGCTGAGGCAACACTGGGGGCTGGGAATGCAGCTGCGTGCTGGTTCCTGCTCCTGTCCAGCACTGTCCCCCAAAGCATTCTAGGTGTAATGCTTTTCTTAGCCCAAACAAGTGTTTTCTAGAAGAAATTTTGCAAATTATACTGTGGCTACTTCTATGGCTTCCTTCAGGGAGAGGGAAGCCCTCATGCTTCTGTACAGGCATGCTCGTGAGGAGCAAGTGTCTGGGCTGGCTCTGTGCAAGGTGGTGACAGATGTCTCATCTTGGAAACGGAGCTGATAAGTTACTCTTGTTTAGGGCATCTGCCTGGCAGCCAGTCTCCACTTCTCTCCCTGCTTAATCAAGATTCCTCTGGCTGTTCCCATGCAGATGAAGCCATCCTGGACATGGCTACCCCGGAGCTGGCAAATTTGTGCAAGAAATGGTACACAGCTCTGGGTTTGCCAGGGTGGTTTCAGGGTAATTGAGCTGAAAAAGGATGCAGGAACTAGCTTTGGCAGAAATTATCCTGCAACCTGGGCTGAACAGATGCATAGGGCAGTGCACAGGCCTCTGTGTGGTGGCATTCCTCAGTTCTGCTGGCATTTGTCTATGGGGGCTGACATTTGCTCCGAAGGGCACCCACAGCCAATGGCTGTTTCATCTCCTCAACTGTAATTGCTGCTGACCAGCTCAGGAGCATTGGACACAAATATCGTCTCTCATGCAACAGCCTGCACTGCGGGCCTGAGGAGGAAGATGAGAGTGGGGAAGCTCATAATTTCTGTCTCTTCTGGGTATACATGAGACAAAAGCCTGTCAGGTTCAGCCCAAAGACATTTTGCACTATCCTTCCAGAGGCCAGAGCAGGCCAGCTTCCAATGCTCTCGTGGCTTTTTCTCTCGAAGTAGAATAGCTACTGTGGCTGGAGAGTGTGGCATGTTCAGTGACAGTGAAGGCAAACTGCTCCCTGGCTATAAAGGTTAATGGCAGAGCATGTGCTTGGCCTGCACGTGTCCAATAAATACCCAATCTTTTGTTTTCCTTTGAAATACTTTTTGTATTTAGCCATGGCTGCTCATGTGGTTCTTTCCTGAACCCAAATCCTCACCAACAGCTGCTGTATAAATAGGGCAGCCCCTGTGTCCTGCACACGGGAAGGCAGGTAGGAGATTTGAAAGCTTCTGTTAATAGTTTATCTCTGAGTCCGCCTAATGAATTATCCTGGCAATTACTGTGCAGAAATTGTTAGTGTATCCTGATGATTCAGAACTTTCTAACAACAACTGTGGACTAAACTATAAACTGTTTTTCTATCTTGGAGTGGAGACTTGAGAGAGGACTCCTAATTGTTCTCATCCCCTCAGGGGCCAGAGCTGGATTATCCCACACAGGCTTCTCTGCAAACTTGTTTTTAGTCTATCAGTGGGCCCTTTGCCAGACCAAAGAGATGGGGAACTGTTTTCCAGATTTAAATCCCCCCCCCACCCTTCCACTCCACTTACACCTCTGAGGAAGAGCATGGATTAGAAAGGATTTGCCCTCATGGGGCTTTGGTTTGGGTTTGTGAAGATCTGTCCTTAAAAGCATTGCCTTTTTTGTTTTATCCCTATGTAAACCTGACTCCCAGCTTTACGTAGGGAATGGGCAGAAGTGAAGTGCTGTGTTGTTCAGAGTAGAGATCTCCCCTTTCTTTTGAAATACCTGCCTTTAAATGGCATTTCCTCTTGGAGACAATGGCTTAACATGAAGGACAAGCAGGTGGGGATGGACAGGGGTGGTGTTCCACCCAAGACATGGCTGGACCCCTCCTGCTGTGGTTGCTGTGTTTCAGCCACGCATCCAAGAGGCAGGATGGCTCAAAGGCTCAGCCAAAACACGTCCCTGTGCCAGCACTGACGGGCCAACATGGATCTCTTGATATGGTTCCTGTCTTGTCCTTATGCTGTTGCTCTCCCAGCACACTGGAGACCATGGGTATCCATCCAGGCATGTCTGGGATGCTCTCCCCAGAACCCATCCTGGTGCTCTCCCCCAAGATCCATCCTGCACTGTGAATGACCCGTGCAGCAATACTGTGTCAGGACAGCAGTTTGCAGGTGCTGGGGCTGTAGCAAAGGTGGTGGGGAGTTCACATGGGGCCTGAGTAGTTCTTCCCTTCCTCATCCTTCCCTTGGCCGGGTGGCAAAAGGCCACACACCGGCCATGCCCTGTCCCACTGGAAGCACTGACGCCTGTCTGGCTGCCAGGACACCCCGCCAGCCCTGTCCCAGGCACATTCCCTGCGCCCAGCAGTGGCAAGTGGGCTCTGTGCCACATCCCAGGGCCGCCTGGGCCCAGGCTCCCTTCTCCAAACATCCCTCCCACCGTGCACCCGTGGTACCCCCGTGGCTCACCCATGTCCGCCCCGTGCACCCGCCCTTGCTGACGGTGGGGAAAGTAGGAGCCGTGTCCTTGTGCTGACCTTCATCTGACCTTCCAGTAACGCTCGAGAAACCCTCGGAAAGGCTTTCTCATTGTGCAGCCCCAGGGTTTCCAGGGAATTAGTCAGCAGGCTGGAATTGTGCTCTGTGTATGTGACCCCCCCTTATCCCCCCCTCCTGCCTCTCCCATCCCTGGAGCCGGACCGGTCCAAGAGATATGTTGCCAGGGTGACAGCGAGGTGTGATGGATGGACAGAGAGTGGCTGTGGAGTGGCAGGGCCGCTGGTCAGTAACCCAGAGCTGTGTTTATAAGAAGGAAGAGGCTGTTTCCTGGAGCTAACATAATGCAGCTCTAAAAAAGGCAGGGGAAATACATCATGCGAGGGGAGCGCGGCCCGGGGAGGGGAGGGCCACGGGGAGCTCAGCACCACAGCGAGCCTCCAGGTCAAGGTGCCTTTGACAGGGGCCTTTTTTATAGGCCATTTGCGTGAGAGTTCGCTGCTGTTTCTCTGCAGCCCTGACAGCGGCTCAAGGCCCAGCCGGGGTTTGGGGAGGGTCTAATCTAAACTCGCCGATTTCCAGCCCTTCTCCTGCAGGACCCGCTGATTTATTTGGAAAATAAATAATCGACACTGACTATTGTTTTGTGTCTGTGGAGTGACAGTCCCCCGCCCTCGGTCCCACAGTGGACACTCAGAGGAGCAGGGAGCTGTGGAAGGACCCTGATGCTCAGAGAGAGGGGCTGAGTTCACTGCTGCCATCTGCCCCCAGCTCACCATGCCCGGGAAGGGGCGATTCCTGTGGCCATGGTCCCTGCATGGGGCATCACTCATTGTGCTCATTGTGCTGGACTCAGAGCTGGGGCAGTGATGGCCAACTGGAAAGGCAAGGGAATATCCCACCCTCCTTCCCAAATGCCAGCTGTGGCAGTTTTGCAGGTGTGTGAGGCTGTTGTGCCAGCACTGGCATCTCCCCCAGTGTGGAGCCAGGGTGTCTGCAGGGACACACACCTGATTCTGCCACAGCAGTGGGGCCATCCCCATGGCTCATGTCACCTCTGAGCCCTGCAGCCATGCTCCCATTTCTGCTCGTGGGTCTGGTTGCAGGAGAAGTGCTGTTCCTGGTGCAGCAGATGAAAGTTTTCACTCCCCAGCCAGCAGTGTGGGAGCTGAATCCCCCAGGTGGGTTGGGACCCCAGGGCCTTAATCATCATGACTAATCAGAAAGCAGCACCCCAGAAAAACAGACCCCAATTTTTCCCTATTACCAAAAAAAAAAAACAAACCCAAAAACCAAAAAACAAGTAAAAACACTCAACCAAAAACCAAAAAATGAAACACAAAATAACCCCAAAACCAAAAAACAAAACACAACCCCCAAAAAACAAAAAGCAAAAAAACCCAACCAAAAAAAAAAAAAAAAAAAAAAAAACAAACAACCAAAAAACCAACAACAAAAAAACCCAAAAACATCTGAAGTATTTCAGAAAAAAATCTTCACACAAAAAAACAGAAAAAAAAAATCAAGGATCATTTTGCTGTAGGTCCCACTGTATTCTGAGTAGGCATAATTGTTTCTACTACAGCTAACAAAATATTTAAATGTTGACAAATTTTTCTTCTTTCTTCTATTACTTTTATTCTTACAACTCTTCAGTGGCTGAGGAAGCAATACTGCATTTAGGGCTTTTCCTTTTTTCTTTTACAAGAATGCTAAAATTTTGTAAAGCTTGGAGTAGGGAATAAATTATTAGAGAAGAGGAGGAAATCCAGCATGAATGTCAGCCATCATCAGGCAGCTTCAGGGCAGTGGAGAAAAAGAGGACAAGGAAAACCTGGAAACACAATGCTTGCAAAGTTCGAACGGCATTCTGCTTTAGAAAACCGAAAGGAAAAAGTTGTTTCAAAATATCCACTGAAGTTAAATGAAATTGGTTTCCATAAAATAGTTGTCAATTTAATTCTTTTTGAGCAAGAAAATTTTAAGCAATTTTTTTACAGAATAAGTGTAAGTTTTATTATTTATTTTCTGCATCATTAATAATTCTACCACAATATAATAATAAAAATCACCAATTTACATTTTTCCAGTGAATACATGGGTTTGGTCCTGTCTTCACTTGTGTGGGAGTAATTTTAAAGTGGAGCCTTACTTTTGGCTGAGGTTTTTGCTTGTCCTGTTTTTCGCTGGAGGAGTGTCCTGTCTTCGATGCTTTCATACTTCCCCTGCTCTAATTCATGCAAATACTGCCACATGCCCAAATTCCTCAATGAGTTCAATATTTATCAGCAAGTAATTTTTTTTCAACCCCGCCTGTTCACTGTCTAAAGCCACTTCCTAAATAAGTATTTGATGAGTATTTGTATATTTAATGTTTGCATTGTTCTAAGTGACTTTCAACATCGGATTCTCTCACCCACTTTCCCTTCAAATTAGCACATTCACAAGGCACTTATATATGAATTTGTATTTGCCTCAGATTTTATAAGGCTGTATTTGGACGACT